AAGAAGAAGAAAAAACCCACCTCTCTGTCCCATTCACATGCTTTAGGGTTGGCCACAAGTGTTGTCCAGATGTCTCGAGCTCGATTCCATGGAAGATACAGAACACCATCTTGCAAAACATATCTTAGGAAGTTCAGATGGGTTGTCATATACTGTGAGGAATGCAACATGTACATCACATAGAGATGTAAAACATATCTTAGGAAGTTCAGATGGGTTGTCATATACTGTGAGGAATGCAACATGTACATCACATAGAGATGTAAAACATATCTTAGGAAGTTCAGATGGGTTGTCATATACTGTGAGGAATGCAACGTGTACATCACATAGAGATGTAAAACATATCTTAGGAAGTTCAGATGGGTTGTCATATACTGTGAGGAATGCAACATGTACATCACATAGAGATGTAAAACATATCTTAGGAAGTTCAGATGGGTTTGTCATATACTGTGAGGAATGCAACATGTACATCACATAGAGATGTAAAACATATCTTAGGAAGTTCAGATGGGTTGTCATATACTGTGAGGAATGCAACATGTACATCACATAGAGATGTAAAACATATCTTAGGAAGTTCAGATGGGTTGTCATATACTGTGAGGAATGCAACATGTACATCACATAGAGATGTAAAAACATATCTTAGGAAGTTCAGATGGGTTGTCATATACTGTGAGGAATGCAACATGTACATCACATAGAGATGTAAAACATATCTTAGGAAGTTCAGATGGGTTGTCATATACTGTGAGGAATGCAAACATGTACATCACATAGAGATGTAAAACATATCTTAGGAAGTTCAGATGGGTTGTCATATACTGTGAGGAATGCAACATGTACATCACATAGAGATGTAAAAACATATCTTAGGAAGTTCAGATGGGTTGTCATATACTGTGAGGAATGCAACATGTACATCACATAGAGATGTAAAACATATCTTAGGAAGTTCAGATGGGTTGTCATATACTGTGAGGAATGCAACATGTACATCACATAGAGATGTAAAACATATCTTAGGAAGTTCAGATGGGGTTGTCATATACTGTGAGGAATGCAACATGTACATCACATAGAGATGTAAAACATATCTTAGGAAGTTCAGATGGGTTTGTCATATACTGTGAGGAATGCAACATGTACATCACATAGAGATGTAAAACATATCTTAGGAAGTTCAGATGGGGTTGTCATATACTGTGAGGAATACAACATGTACATCACATAGAGATGTAAAACATATCTTAGGAAGTTCAGATGGGTTGTCATATACTGTGAGGAATGCAACATGTACATCACATAGAGATGTAAAACATATCTTAGGAAGTTCAGATGGGTTGTCATATACTGTGAGGAATGCAACATGTACATCACATAGAGATGTAAAACATATCTTAGGAAGTTCAGATGGGTTGTCATATACTGTGAGGAATGCAACATGTACATCACATAGAGATGTAAAACATATCTTTAAACTTAAAGGTCAACAAATTTCCGTAAGGAATACATTTTTCTGGTTTAAATGTACATTTTTTACCAAGACTTTAAATTTAGATTTCTTCATGCAGCAATGACAAAAATAACTGAAATCTTGTACAAACATACTCAATGGGCTAACTGAAAATACTGAATGTTGTGACAGAAAAATTTTTTACAACAGATGAAACTCTTCAATTTATTAATGTAACAATAAAGGAATACACTACACTTAAGTGGAATCCTTGAATACACCTACTGTTTGTTTGGAGAGTATCACACAGTAAGGCATCTATCTCTGACAGACTCTAATACCATTGTTCAACAACCATGAGAACATAATTTTTCATAGCTGTCTCTCATGGAGACTGATAATGGTACATCAAGAATATGTAAAACATTTATTAACCTCTAAGAGGGGGGTCTCTGTGTAGTGAAGCCTTTTACCTGGGGTGCCAAAGGTTTTGGGTTTATTTTACAAACACAGTTAAGTTCACGAGTGAAGTTTTAAGGAGAACGCTGGCGATTGTCATTAGAGCTATAGAACAAACAAGCAAAGTTTATTTTCAAAAGGTCAAGAGATGGGCAGGCAGGTCCATCTAACTAACATTCTGCCCTTCCAGTCTCACTACTTACATATAGTTATTCATTCATCCAGTTATTCATTCAAATACCATTCTGTAGGTAAAAATAAACATTTTCAATAACATCTAAGTCTTAATTACAAACAGTGGAATGTACTCTAATTATACTTACATTACTAAACAGACAAATAAAATTAGTATAGCAATGAATCTAATCCAGTGTTATAAATCTAGTAGTTGGCATAATATAAACATTACAGACAACAACAAATAGGTAATTACAAATGCTGGAATGTGCTCGAGAGACCTAGCCATATGGGATAAAACCGGGGGCAATACAGTCAATCCTTAAGACTTTAATCTCTAAGGCACTATCAATTACACTATACTAAGGACAGACATTCAAGTACTGACATCTGAATGGGGATATCTTCCATCAACCATGGTGCTGGGCTTGAGCTGCCCATCTCCAACAGATGACACCGCCTGTTTGTGACACTTGACCAGGCTGTTGGTGACCAGCTTGATCACATCACTACCCTTATTGAGTTCATTGATCACACCCTAGAGAAAAAAAAAGTCAACATGAACAATGATATTACATACAAACTACCTACATCTGTGAGACTGGACTTCTTAAAAACAGTTTTCCAGACACGTCTGCCAATCTAGTGTTATCAGCTATAAGCCGGCATCATAGCACTTGGGACATTCCCATAGGCACTCTATCCCCATCTTCAGCAGGAAGCGCAGAGTTCCAATTCTCATGGTACCAGTAACAGTCTTAATGTATTTCTATCTTGCCACCCTCCCCTCTTTTTCCAGTCTCTTCAGACCATGATAATATATTTGTGCCTCAGTACTGTTTACTCATCTTCTTAGAACATCTAGCTTGTGATGCATTAGACTAAAAATCTGCAGAACCAGCAAATCTATCTGCCTGTTCATTTCCCAACATAATGGCATACTCTAGAAAAAATATCTAAAGGATGCTAAAAACCCGGGATAACTGAAGTGGTGCTTGCCACTCTGGATGGAGCACAGCTGTTTCCATCTTTTTTTCAATGTGCTCTGTAAGTCTGTTACAATCTTTAAATGTGTATGCAGCAGGTTCTGAAGCCAGCAGAAATCTGGTGGATTTGAATGAACAAACAAATTCTGTTTCTAGGATTTATATGATAGTATCGAAAATCCTCATATGTCAATGAGATTCAGAGCAGTCGGCTCAGGGCCTGAATACATTTTATACACATATAATGCAAACCACAATAGGTTTTAAGAAGATGATTTAATCATTTGTATCAGTCACACTATTTTCATAAAATTATGGCATGACAGTTTTACTGTCATTAGCCATTTAGCACATCTAGATTCTAGTCAGTGTCTATGGTACAGGCATTGGGAGAATGCTTCGTAATTCTGAAATACCTGTTTGATTCCAGTTACGAGCAACTGGGCAACAGACTGCTTCAACAACGGTATGGAGCACCAACTATTTAGAAAGCACTGGCAAACTACTGAACATAAAATCACAAGTAAAATCACAAACAGCTTTAAAAATACAAATTCTATTTGATATATGAAAGCTGCAGTTTCTATTTTTTTTTAATAAATGTGTTGTAATATAATAATGACATTACATTTCTAGTCACAAGCACAAACTATCTACCAACCACCCACCTTGTCTGACTTCTGAACCGTATTCTTGCTGATGTTTTTACTGATGGACATCAACTGCCTCAGTGCTGGCAATACACAGGCTCCCTGGAGACAAAAACAAAGGCAAAAAGAAAAAAATAAGGAAAATAAAAGATACCTTTGCTTCATGTATATATTTGTCTGGGGGGTCTTGTCTGAGGGGTTTGTCTCCATGGCTGAGTGGTTTCAATCAAGCCATTTGTCGTAGATTCATGGGGATCATCACCAGAGCTAGAGTTTGTGCTTTGTGTAACTGTCTCGGAAGACAGTCATACAGAGGTTGAGTTTCATGGCTTGCCCGTTTTCAATGTCACTTATTTTAAGAGTGCAATTCGCTTTTTGTATGTAGATAGATCATGGGGATCATCGCCTGTCACCTGGCAGACTTTGAAAACAAATTTCCAGCACCCGCTTTATGAGGCCAGATTGGCACACATACCATCCTCAGGGTGCTAAATCAACCTGCTGCCAATAAAACACCATAACTGCTAATGTGCTACGGAAGACAGCATTTAGTTTACCATTCTACAGAGAGTCCTTAATTAACTTCCACCAAGTCTTCCTAAACTGAGCAGTTCACCCCATGTCCCACATCAAGAAATAACCTTCATCTGTCTCAGTACAAAAACTAATGACAGTTGAGCATGTGCTTAAAGCTCTTGACATTCTTAACAACAATACTGACAGATTACAAGACAATGGCATGCTACTGTAATTTTGATCACACGAAGGCTTTTATCTGAAGCGCTCTTGTATGTCTCTCACTTTTTACTTCATGTTTTTACTTTTCATCTCCCTTTATTTCTTCGACCTTGTTGTCATTAAGCAGTCCGGGAAGAAATAATGAATATATAAACTCTTTCAACCAAAAAACATACCAAACATGATAATATAATTCTTCTTCTTTACAGCATTTACCGGTTTTTAACTCCAGCAGAAAGTTCTAGTTGTTCCGTTCACCTCTGAACTGTGGTCTTGTCATTGAACTTGAGTTTTGCATGCACATCTGTTTTACAGATCTGGCTTATTTGTATGCAGCCTGTTTTTTTCTCCCCTCTCAAGCAAAAGGCAGATGCACACCAACTTTGAAGAAAACAACCTAATTAGTCTATTTTTATGACATGCTTGTTTGACTGGGGGAGGGTCTATTCTTTTTTCACCTCAATATGGGGCCCCGAAACACACACGAGGATGACTCTAATAATACAACACTTGTTTCTTCACACAAACCTTTTTAATGTCATCCACACATTTGTTGACATACTGAAGCTTGACCTGTTCCTTGACACTGTAGGAGTCAGACAAGATGGCATGATGCTCATCCAGAGCTTGTTCTATCAAGCTGGTGCTCAGGGAAGGTAAGTGAGCCAGGTCCCACAAAAGCTCTAGCACCTAAGAAGTCAAGCAATAGTTACAAATTTACAGCACACATAAATCTTAACAAGCCAATCTTCCTAACAGATTATATTCCTGCATTGCAAAAGTGTAGCAGCAAGACTGCTTATCTTTTTCACCCCAGAAAAGCTAAATAATTGGGAGTTAAGACCCAAAGGGAATCACCTTTAAAAAAAATGTACACAGATCACTAATAATTTTTTTCTTCATTTATTTATCTACATGTTGTTCCCCAAAATACAGATTTATAAAAAGAGTAATCAATAAACATGAACAGGAAACAAACAAATTATTTGGAATTCATCCCCAGGGTCTAAAAACTAAATGCAATTTTATGAACTGATCCTGTCATACTGGGCATTTAGGGAAAAATTAATTGATGCTATCTTGGCTACAGATGAAAAAAAATCTTTTTTTTTTTCATAACAAAACATCCATAATGCTATTTTGAGTAACCACTAACCATAATTTTAAAATCGATTTAGAAGAGACTGAAAATGTCACAGATTTTGAATATTTGGGTTCAACAGTGAACAACTGTAGCAATTGTACAAAAGAAGTAAGAAAAGACTTGTTATAGCAATTCAGAGGCTAAACAGCATGAAGAACCTATAGCACAGTACCAGCAAGCTGGTTGAATTGAAAAAAACTTTAAGATCCTGCATCTTTCCTGTGGCAATTTATGGTTTTGAGTCACAGACTAAATATTTGTGAGTCATGGACTCGAGCTCCAAAGAAAAATATTATAGCTTTTGAAATTAAATGCCACAGACAAATTCTTAAAATGCCTTGGACCAAGAAGAAGAAAAACACTAACATCCTACATGATTTGAATGAAGGAGAATTGGCTTATAAACATCATCCTGCCCCAAAAGCCGAGGTGTTCTAGCCATGTTAAATGTTATTGTGGTCTGGAGAGAACGGTGACGGAAGTGCTGTTTCTAGAAAATGAGGCAGAGGCCGACATCAGCAAAGGTGGACACAAAACACTGAAGATGCATTGGCTATGAAAGCACATAGGGGGTGCAGAACTAGCTAGGGAACGACAAGACTTTAAGGTGTCGCGTGAAGAGAACAATGATTCTGTAAACATTCATATCCTGATCTCCTAAAAGCTGTGCAGGCACAAACTCACCCAACAGCATTAACTATTCATCTCATAAACACATCACTCTAGACAAGACGGAAAAGTGACATTTACAACTTAGGAAGACACCGGAAGTGTTCATTTAATAATGACTTATGTGAACCAAGCAAATCTCCCCAAAAAAGCAAGTTTTGTTACTGAAATAAATGGTGGGAATTTCGACAAGTCAAAAGTGTCTATAGCCTTGGTCAGATAAGGGCAATGGTAAATTAGAAACCAGAATCAATAATACAAGTAGTCAAATTCGTCTCTAAAGTCGACTTAGCCTTAAAATGAGTATGAGGAAATGAAATGGAAATAAAAGACAGGTGATCTGACAGTGACCAATTCACACACACTGCCAACTGATCTTAAAAAAATGAAGCTAGCACCACATATCCAATATGAGGGCAATGGGTTTTTCACCTGGAGAACGGTCGCAGTGTTGCAGCCAGACGCTCGCCTGCAGATGCAAAGGTCATGGCCCAGGTCCTTATGGAGCCTGACTTCCCCCCCCCCCCCCCCCCTTTTTTTTCTTTAAAATATTACACTGGCTCCCAATTCAACTCAGTATTAAATAAGTACCAGGTAAAGTCCCTGGGAAGTAAAGGTGGCCGACGTGATGTTGACCACATCACCTACCAAGTGCCATTTGGTCTATAATATACAGGTCTAGCCCTATATCCTAATACACCAGAAGGCATGGGAAAGGGCCCTTTACTTTTTATTTCTCTTTTAGGTTCTTTTCTATACTCTATTCGCATTTTTAAATATGTCAATGCAATATTTCAATCAAGTCACAAATATTCAAGACACCAAACTACCACATAAAAACTGTCTGTATAGTACAACATACCCTTGTGGTTGTTTTTGCAACTTTAGCGTCCTTTCCAATTTTGCCAATCAGGCTGAGCAGTTTTTCTCTAATTCTGTCGTTGTCATCTTGCCATTTCTAATATGTACAATATTTAAAAAGAGTATAAATTAAATCAATGTAAACCATCAATAAATATATTATATGAATCGCTGCACATGTGTACAGGTCTATAATTCATAGTCCAATAACAGTGAGTCACCGAGTTACTGTTAGCTGTCTGATCATGTCTTTCCATTTCTGCCAATCATATTCACTGGACTCGATGTTTTTGTATTTGAAGCAATTTCTGCCAATGAGATGCACTAGGCTTGATGTTTTTGCATTTGAGGCACATCCAGTACGCCAAATTTTGGATCCAGGTCTCTCATGGTCTGATTCTAATTTTTCTGGGGCATCCCCCTTAGATGACATCTTTCCCCTAATAAAAGAAACTGTTGCTTTTTCAAGGGTGTTGTTTTCAGCGTGATTCACTAAAAGTTTGGGAAAGGGCTTAATTTTTGTTTTTTTCGGTGTTAATTTGAGTCCATTTTTTTCTGGAAATTCTGGGTCGATTGATTTTTTCTTTGGGGGGCTGTTGTTTTTTGAACTCAGGGTGCTATGTCGTCGGCGAAGTCTAGGTCTTCCGAATTTTTTTCAACCCATTAAGCCTAAATTTTCGTTTTTAGCACTT